TGAAAACGGAGACTTTTGAAAACGCACTTTGAAAACGGAGACTTTTGAAAACGGAGGCTTTTGAAAACGCAAAAACACAGTTTGAACACCGAAAACGGATACTTTTGAAAACGCTAACAACAACAACAATACAGCAAGATGCTTAGACCGCGCCAATTTGAACAGCTTCTCTTAATACGGCTGATTCACTTGAAGTTAGTACACTACTTGGAGGAATATTAGTGGCAGTGAGTTGTGTAAAAAGGCTTTTAGCAGTCGCGAGTGCTGTAAATCAGTTCGTGGCGTTTTCTTTTTATCCATAGCGGAGCAATGTGCACGCGTCATCGTTTTCATACCGTTTTCAAATGTATCCGGAGCAGTGTGGACAGGCAAAACGGATCGATATGAAAACGGATAAAAACGAATACGGAGCAATGTGAACATAGCGTAAGTCCGTAGAATCTTACCCGACATACGACTGTCTATCCGACGACAATTTCCAGTCAATTAAAAGTCGCAGCCACAAGGCTCGTCAGAACATGCCCAGCCAAAACCAGCCTTAAGTGAAAAATCCAGATGAATTAGCAATGTGTCTTTAGAAATGTTATCTCTTGCAAACAAAACGATTGTTTGATTGAAATATAAATCTTGAAATAAGAGCAATATTAGGAACACGTTATGTTACCTAAAGTTATCAAAAAAATATTATCGAATATTCGAGACTCTAAGAGTATCCAATATTATCTGGTTCATAATCTGATTAAAGAAGGTCAGAAGTAAGTGGAAGGACTGGAGAGCAGAGATGGCGCCAGAAAAGAAATGCTGGGGGGGGCTGTAATGTCAGAGTACCGACAGTGAGTGAACCACCAACAAAGATCTAATATAACACCATTTCCGCTGTGACAATTCCAGTTCAAAAAATGAAAAAAAACTGAAAAAAAAAATCAAGCAATGAAAAAAATAAAAAAAATCACGAAGTGGAAGTTATGAAAGTGCCAACATTGCTTAAATTTTTTCAAAAATTGAAGTGCCGACGGAGGGGCTCAATGAATTTTGGGGGGGGGCTCCTGCCCCAAGCACCCCTGGTGGTGCCATCCCTGCTGGAGAGAAAATGCTTTCTATGAATTTTTCGAGGCACACAAGCCCCCCCTCCAAACGATAATAGTAACAGCCGTTTTTTTGGTTGGTAATCCCAGGAAAAGGTTTAAGAGCCTATGCGCTCTTTTTTTTAATAAGAATAATTTTATTAGAACAAAAGCCTCAAAATTTGTCAAAAGTTAAGAACAAGCTGAGGCTGAGCTACTGTAAAATGCAATTTTGAACAACGTTTTATCTCAGAAACGATGATTTTAGCCACGCGTGGGTGCATTTTTTGTGAATTTTCAAACTTTTTGGCAAATGAAGGTTGTCTCACTCAGTTAATTTAGCAAATAAGCTAGCAATTGAACTGCAAATTAAGAAAACAATGCAAACATTTCCGGATTTTCAGGAAAAATTAAGAACAGTCAGCCTCAACCTAAACTTACTGGTTCTTGTAAAAAGAAAAGAGTGTATCTACTGTAACTAAAATCTCAGTGTTGAAAGGAAAGAGAGAAGGGATATGCTAAGAAGAGAGGAAAGATCGAGCTTGTTTAGTTTTGTTTTCAATAAAGACAGGTTGTAAGAATCTAGGAAACAAAAAGGGGGTACCAGGGACCGCGTACTACTCTAAAAGTGGAGGGGCTGAAATGGGTGTGACCGAAATTTTTTGTGGCCATGTCCTCTAGAACGCCAAATACTTGCTTATTTTTATTGAATTTTTATAAAGAGTCTGGTTCAGAGAAAATATCAATAACTATAAAAATAGATGTAATAAGCTCGAGGGTAATAAAAAGCCAAGCTAACCAAGTTAGAAAATACATCACAGGCCCGTCGGAACCGGGGGGCTGGGAGGGCTGGAGCCCCCCCAATAATTGTCAAACAGTAGTATGTTTCCTTTATAACAGTGTACTGAATGAGAAGGAAAACGATGGGCAGCCCCCCCCCCCCAATATGAATTTCGTTCCGACTGCACTGCATCATATCATTAAACAAGATGAAACACCTAGAAAATGAACAAATTGGTTCCCAGTCAATGAGAACTGCTACTACATACGAGTAAACTATCCAAAGTTGCGTTAGAGTAAACCTTCAAAAAAAGTTTATAGCCGATTATTGCAAAAAAGTGGATGGGCTATAGCTGCTGCTAGTCCAATGGCTGCGCGGTGCCTGGGGGTAGAGCATTCCAAACTTTATTAGACCTTGGTAGGAAGAAAGAGCTGTGGGATTGAGCTCTTGCGTTCGGCAAAGAAAGTTAAAATACAGATGACAGACCCAAAAGGCAAATGTATTTGTTGGGGAGACGAGCAAGAGAAAGTTTTTAAAAAAGTGAGGCAACCCTCCGTCATGGAGTCAAAGAGCATGCGCACAGAACGAAGTTATTATTACGCATGCTCTCTGAATCCAGGACGGAGGGCTGCCTCACTCATTTGAAAATTTTCGCTCGCTCGTCTCCCCAACAAGTATGTTGAATAAAAATGTGGCAAAGGTTTAACAGTTTTAGTGTCGTGACATGTTGGCTGATTTTGCACAGCAAGCCAGGTATCTGGCAAGCTGTTGTGAAAAATGACCTCGAAGTTAGGGAGCTGGGGGCGGGGCGTGGGAAAGTGAAGCTTACCCTGCTTTTTACGGGGCTTTTCACACTTTTTGTTGTTAATTGAGTGTTAAGACTCCGATGCAAATTTTCAGGAAGGGGAGTCAAGGGTAAATTAGAGAGCTATAATAAAAGGTTTTGCAACAATTTCTATTATTTTTCAAACTGATCATCATGGCTTTTATTAACATACTATCCAGCAAGGACCTAATATCACGCAACATATCACAGATTGAAGGGGCCAACAAGTTTGGAGGGGGCTAAACATGCTGAAAACCACGAGCAGGTCGAATTTTGTATGATTTTCGGCAAATTTAGAATATTGGGGGGGGGGCTTAAGCCCCTGTAGCCCCCCGCTTCCGCAATCTCTGCTTACTATTGTGGGGGAGGGGGGGGGGTGCAATTGCCATTCAGGCACCGCGGAGCATGACAAATACTAAGTAATAAACTACCAGAAAAGCCTCTTTTTATACGGTTTTAGCCCCCCCACTTTTGCAACCACGCCGTTTGAATTAGTTTGAAATACATTTCAGAATATTTCTTGCAGTAATTTTCTTGCAATCGTTTATAAAGTTTTACTTTTTTTAGGCACACTTTGTTACGTTTCGTTAAATCCAGTGCTTTAAACGGAATTTCTTACTTTATGCGGCCCCCTAGAGCTCGAGGCCTGGGGCAATTTGCCCCTTCTTGTCCCCCTCTCAGTAGCCCTGTTCACATTATTCGCAGCCCTTTCACAGGGCCATGGCTGTCTATGTTGATCTCCAAGTCCCCAATCCTGAACTATGATCATGATGATGATGATAGTCTACATGATGATAGTCAAGTTATCATGATGATAACAACTTGAGTCTACATGTAAGAGGGGGATTTTTTCACCCGAAATATTTTCTGCTTTTCACTTGTTTCTGCTTTTTGTTCTGAAATCTATTTGGTGCTTTTGGTAAAAAAATATTGTTTTCCTAGAACACTGATGAGACCATCATTGATCCATTAATCAATTATCAAAACAAATTCATTTATTTTCGTTAGATTAATTTATTCGAGCCAGCCCCCAAATTTATTGATAAGGACCAACTTTCCAAGCCCTGCCCCCAGCCAAATTAGTAAGAGCTCAGCCACTGTTGAAACAAACCGCTTTCTAGTTAGTGTCTTGTTTTATTTCAAATGATTTTACAAACTCACTTGACAGGGGCCCACCGGGAAATCTCCCGGTGTTCCGCCCCTGACCACAGCAAAAAAGTGTGCTTAATTTCATGTGTCATTTGCTAGAATATCTCGCTATCGGATAACCATCTTCTCTATAAGAACAATTTATAAGAACACGAGCCTCAAAATTTGCCAAAAAGAACAAGCTGAGGCCGAGCTACTGTAAAATGTGATTTTGAACAAAGTTTTTATGCATGAATCATGAATCCCGAATTAAATTAAATCCCGAAAGCAAGAAGTTTTTTGTCATCTAGGGGTGCCTTTTCGGTAAATTTTCAAACTAGGCTCACTCCGTTTGTTGGGAAATGGGGCTGGAACATTTCCCTAGAGCATAATAGCTAGCGATGGCACTGATTACACCCTAATAATTCAAGAACAAATTAAGAACAAAAATTTGCAAAAGTTTGCAAAAGTTCACACCCTTAAAGTTTGCAAAAATTAAGAACAGCCAGCCTGATCTTAGATCTTCTGGTGTTTATTAATAAGGTGTTGAGAACATGGCCTGTGTTGAGTACATGGGACTCAAAAGCTTTCATACTTTCCCACATGTCCAAAGTTTTTCTCATTTTGTAACTGCTATCTTAAATTTAAAACGGAAATCTGTTCCATAATCAAGTTGTTTTATTTCTGTTGGTTCTTGTGTCTCAGGCCCGTCGGGGGCTGGGAGGGGGGCTGGAGCCCCCAATAATTTATCCAACTGTGGTATATTTTCTTTATAACAAACAGTGTACTGAGTGGGAAGGAACACAATAGGCCCCCCTATGAATCTCGTTCTGAGGGCACTGTATCTAGATAAATTCTGTGAATGAAACCGGGTTAAATTGACTCGCAGGGGCCTCTGTAGATATTATCAACTTTTTGGATATTTTGTGAACGTCGCTTTACAATTTGGGGCAATCTTTCCAAACCTAAACCCTATTTACCTTACCCATTGTATTGGTTTCACCATTGCCCTTGTATTGGTTTCACGTTGTTGATTGGATGATTAAACAATAGTCAAATGAAACTGATTACTGATTGGATGGAAGAATGTTCGGAACATCAATTTTTATCCGTCAGTGAGTAGAAGCTTCGAGCCTATGTTGTTGTCAAAGGAAAGGAGTCCTACTTCGTTCGGTTGTTATATTTTCTGTTTTTTATGCAGGAATTGATGCCGATCAGATGTCAGTTCAAGGAGTTTTTATAGCACTGTCTGTGATTTGCTTCTTAAAAGGTATGTTCAAACTTTGAAACTTTCGTGATAATACATTGCGTGCAAGCAACGTCCATTTGTTGTGTATTGCGGCAGGACTCCTAACCTCCCGATGCAAAAATATCGCGGTTTTTTAATTCCAACAAAACCGTCGCTGTACTTAGATTGACTCTTAATTAATTTCCTATCCATGCTAGTCACGAAACAGGCTTTAATGCCTTCATATATTGCCTTGTTTGATCAATACCATCCTTGCCAGAATATGCCGTGTTTCGCCCGATGCCGATGCCTCTTTGAATGACACTCGCATTGACTTCGTTCAACGTGATTGTTTATCAAAATTCATTAACAAATCTTTCTCCCTCTAATTAAATTTTCGCAACATTTAATGCCTGGTTCTCTTGGAAATCTCGCTCAACAAACTGCGTGAAATCAATAGTATGTATTTCACAACGAGTCGTTCATTGCAATACATCTGAATACCTGAAACCCGTCGGTCGACCATTGATGTCAACCATTTCTTTAGCATACCATGCAAAAGCATACCGGATGCCAACTAGATTGATGCCTGTCTTTGTTGATTTTTTCAAAAGCTGGGTCAAGGACTTCACACTAGTATTTCGTACTACTGCCGCACAAATAGAACCATCAAAACCAACTGTTTGGGTTCCTGTTTATAAGAAATCTAAATAAAATATCTCCCAATCCAATCCATCACACAACATCATCTTATCTTGATTATCCAACATCAAAAGGTTTAGTATTCACAATAAAATGAACTTATTCATCATAAAATAATATGAAGTTGTAGACACATTTAGGCCATGCTGGGCGTCCTGTCTTTCTGATTCCCTCTCGCCGTATCATAAATTCTAGCCACAGAGAAATAGCAACTATTCTTATGATTCACAGATTAATACATAGTTCTATCAAATTCCAATGCATTCGTGATTTAGATGTTGTTAGTTTAAAATCAGACTAAGTTGTGAATTGCTTATTTCAGTTCGAAATATTGCATGACTTGGTCTCTGTCCTTTGTGGGCCATTTTGCAATTTTAATCCTGTGGCGAAGAGAGTACTGACTTTAAAATCCGCACAAAAACCAGTTTTCTATGTCCACTATTCTATTGTAAAGCTAATAGCTAATTTTGTTGAGTTCGCTGACAAATATTTGTTTGAGTGTAGTCAAATTTTATGCTAAATTCCTTGTTTATTCTAAATCGCAATACAGTCAGTAGACTGCGCTGGTATAGTCACGCCAAATATATTGCTTCAGTAGTTGTGACTGCAAACGCAGACTGTAAATGGAGCTTTATTGAACAGTTAAACATATTTAGGCCTAAATTTCATGTGATTGTCACCAATAGTATTTCTTTAATCGGATTCAATTCTACTCATATTTTCATCGTAAGGTTTCGAGCATGCTTCGATATGGAGTCAACAAGGACAGTATCTTTCCATTTCGACCTAAAAACCTGTGTCAATTAGTCCTCATTCTTTAAAACATTTAAACATCATCGACCAGTAATCTGTGATCCAAAACTTGCTAATTAAAGTTTTTAGACTTTCAATTTTTTTAGACTATTTAAAAGTGCAAATTTATTATGATTCCACATGTTCTGGTGCCATTATTGTTTGAAATTTTATTTAGATAAGTTCGATTTGCAACATTGCAACATTTTGATCCCAATCTTGATTATCCCAAAAGTTGAAAATAAGCCATAATTCATATTAAACAGTGCAAATTTCCATAGTATCTGATGTTGTTTTGATGAAAAAACACTCAGGAAAACATTTGTTCTATATATATATTTTTGTGTCAGTTTGGATTAAATTTTTTTGTTGAATTTTATTTAAGTCTGCTATTGTTGTTAGTAGTAACAGTGTAGTCTAGTGAAGTGTATTTTAATAAGAAGTTTAGTCTACCCAAATTAAAGTTTGTTCTTGGAAAATTAAGCACTAACAAAAAGCCTGGAAAATATTGAAACCTGCTTAAGATTACAAAAACCACTGGTTTTAAAATGTTGATAGGAAATCAGACAAAAGGTCTGAAACATTGCTTTTAAGAATTGAAAATTGCTTTTAAGTTACATGGAGATAGCAGACAGGGCACAGCTCCATAAGCTTTGATTTTCAGTGTCCTAGAACTATCTTCTGAAACGACATGAAACAAACACAGATCAATTCAATTTTTTATATTTGAAGGTAATGTGTCCATATAAAAGGACTGTATATACCCAACTTGGCAAGTAACATCAGCATAATGGCTTACAATTGAAAGTTTGAAATTTGCACTTTTTGCAATGCAAAACTGCTCACATGAAAAAGCTAACCTCACAGCTGGGTGGATAAACAGATTTGAATTTGTATTTGTGTTTGTTGCTACCCAGCATCCAAAGGTAGTTTTTAGGACACTGAGAAGCTAATGCTTATGAAGCAATGCCCTGGTCCTTCCTCTTGATGTGACCACACGTTGTGATTCCTACGCCTGGAATAACAGAGAGCTGGCGACTCTCCCCACTCTGGATGAAAGTTTGGTCATGTCAGGGACTCGAACCACGGACCCTTGGGTCTGTAGTCAGCACCTCTAACAACTGAGATCCTCGCACCCTAACATAACAGAACATAACAGAACAACTGTTATGGCTGGGGTGATGACATCCTGTAGAAATATTTTATAAATGAAATGAAATGAAAAATCGCCTGTTTCTGAAAACCCTTTTACCTTTAAAATGGAAGTTATGTTTCTATGCTGCCTGAATAAGATAATTTTTATAACCAATCAAATTTTCCGTATGTTTACATTCTGTAAAAGATTATATAATCTACAGAAGATTGTTTCTATTTTTAAATACATGCAAGGGATTAGGCTCTGATAATTTTTAAAAAAACTCTTACTTCTTAAAAAATTAATGGGTCATTACTTTAAAGAAAGGTTTATTTTACATCAAGGCATATATAAGTGTTTTTAGGATGTTGTAATGTCTTAGAAAAATATAAGTTATTGATTATTTTTTGAAAATATGATAAATTATCTCTAAAGTGACCAGATATAAAAGTTTGACTTCTTGGTTTATTTATGGATGGCATTGCTCAATTGATGTTGTCGCTTTAATGTCATTTCCTGGTCTTTTGGTTCAGTGGTTGTGATTTCATTTCAATAAAATGTTCTGAATAAACAACAAAGCTTAAGGCAAAATTTAGCATCAATAAAATTTATTTCAACAATAAAGATATTTTATACCTTTTGTATGAAACTTTGATGTTCTTTTATATTTTTGTCATTTTCATTCCTTGATATTTCTTGTCCTGATAAAAAAAATATAACAGCAGCTATATTTTACAAAATAGAAGTGTGGACCCCCTCCCCCCATAGAATGTTGATTTATTTTCTCAATACTTTCATACAGCTTTCAGTGAAGAAATTTTTACCTTCAGGATCAAAACAGCCCAATTGAACAACATTGTAATGGGGGTAAGGGGAGGGGGACTTTTTTAAAAAAAGCTTCAGCTTTGGGCAAGTGTTCCAACAATTTTGGCAAGGATTGTAGATATGATTTGCCCCAAAAATCTTTGAAGGACAGCATTTTGACACAGTGGCAGATTTAAGGGGGAGGGGTAAATGGGGGCAGTTGCCCCCTCATTTAGTTGAAGCAAGATACTTCATTTAAAGACCTTCAGTCATGCTCAGACTATATGTCATTAATTTGACATAATTATTTTGAAAAATTTACTTGATCTTCCATAGAGAGCCCTATATCAGTAGTTAGCTCTGAAATTGTTGTAACACGCATCTTGTTATCAATTTCTGAAAATTTTTCAGCCAGCCTCTTCCCACACTATTAACTGTCCTGGATCTGCCCCTGTTTTGACTTGGCTTAGCTGCCTTCTGACACAGCTAAATGACCAAACTTTCATTAAGATGAGGAGATTTGTCAGATTTTGGTACCTAATTCCAGTGATAGGAGAAAAAGAGAAACAGATCACTTCCCAAGTAGTTAAAGACACAGACATAAGGTCAAAAGGTTTGATACCCTGACGAGACAAAACGCTCATTTAGAATGAGAAGATTTGCCAGATTTCTGTAATTCCAGGCATAGGAATAACACAGTTTGGTGAGAAACAGGTCACTTTCCAAGTAGTTAGAGTCACAGATATAAGGTCCAAAGGTTTGATACACTGACAAGACAAAACGTTCATTTAGAATGAGAAGATTTGCCAGATTTCTGTAATTCCAGGCATAGGAATAACACAGTTTGGTGAGAAACAGGTCACTTTCCAAGTAGTTAGAGTCACAGATATAAGGTCCAAAGGTTTGATACACTGACAAGACAAAACGCTCATTTAGAATGAGAAGATTTGCCAGATTTCTGTAATTCCAGGCATAGGAATAACACAGTTTGGTCTCATCTCAAGTGTACATGGTTTTAGTCCCTGACATGACCAAACTTCCACTATTCCTGTCAGCTCTCTGTTATCAAATCAAGAGGAAGAACCAAGACAAGACACTGCTTGATAAACATAGCTTCTCATTTTTCTAAAAACTTAACACAAAGATGATTTGAAAGATAATTCTGTTGTTATACAGGGATGCTGGAACATATTTTGGGTACAGGGAGCTCTAGACATATTAGCAAACTTTTATGATTGCCTAGACATTGATATCAAGCAAGATGTAATTTGAACTTCAGCAAAAATTGAGGGGGCTATAGCCCCCAGCCCCTCAAGGCTCAGGCATGCCTGTTATTCATATTTACATATGTAGCTCAAATCAAATTTTTACCCCTAAAACCATGAGTGTAGTTGGGAATTTGACATTGGGGGCCGAAAAATATTTTTAAAAACATATGGAAATGACTTTATTAAATATAACCGACAGAGGTGATGCTCAAACATTTGGGGACCTGCCAGAATTTTGGAAGCCCTCCTTTTGCCGACCCCCTTTCGCCGACCCCCTTGCCTGAAAGTAACCTAATGATCCTTATCTGAGTATTTTCAAGATTCACACAGGTCTGCTGTCG